GGTCGATGGTGAACTTCGTGTACGCGTCAAAGCAATGTGCATGACGGCGATATGCCGAGTCTGAACTCTTCAGTCAAACAATACAGAAACAATAGATTGAAACTGAACATAACACGAAGGCGGGTGACCTTGCTATCCGAACTTTTTTTTCAAACCCTAAACCAGATCTATTGCAGGGCAAATTCGCCAGAACCCCAGTTAAACTAAACACATATTTCGTTCGCAAACAAGGGAAATAGTTTGTAATGTATTACTCATAAGATTGCTGAAAATCCGTCGACAGCCCACGACCGGTTTCGCCCTTCTTGGGGCTTATCAGGTAGGCGCAATCCCCGAGTCTCCGTCGACCTTGTGTTCTACTTGAAACCAAATTACACGAAATTAGCGAATATGCGCTCATTTACAAACTAATTTGGTTTTTCGAGAGACTCACTTAGAACCCAGCTAAATCTCCCGCTTGTGATGTTTCTAGGCAACTGAATGTGCTGCACCAGGCCGCCTCATGTTTCAGTCGCTACGATATTCGAGATATCGCGATACATGTATATATTTTAATGTACTACTCATAAGGTTGCTGAATATCCGTCGACAGCCGACGGCCGGTTATTTAACCGAACAATCACACTTCTGCACATCCAAGCACACGTGTGATATAAATTCCAATTTTTGATTTAACATATTTCTGTACATCGCACGCACTTTTTTTAAACGATTGATGGCATTTTCAGTGTGAGGTTTCATATTCTTCTTGCAGAATTGGCAAAGGTTCAGCCAACCCTTAGAGGTTTGTCGAGAAGGGGGCACATGATACACTATCTACATGATAAATTAACAGTAGCGCTATCCGCGTGAATCGCAACGTGTTTTCCTGCCCATAGGGTCACTTGCGTACAACCACCAAAGGAACGAGTCAACTGATATACGACGCTGGGAAAAAAACCGTGTTGAATTGAACCGATCCATTAGTTTACATCCATTTCATCTGGCAACCAAGCCGAGTTTTACTAAAAATAAATGGTCAACAGAGAAAAAGGTCTATCATGATTAATTTGATGCACATTGAATTTCAAAAGGTTATACTTTCAGAAAGTTTTTCACTAACAAATTGAATTTTCGATCTTTACAGTGTGTGAAGTGAATTTTTACCTAAGTGCTTCGAAAATAAAAGCAAGAAAACCAAATATAGATGGTCGGACTAAATTTCAACAGTGGTGGTAAAAAAACAAGCAATTTAAGTGATCATCAAAAGAAATCCTTAGAGGAAAAGCCGATATTCCGAAAAACACACAGAGCTGTCATCGGAAGGTCCTGAATTCGATCTTTACGGTGGGAGATTACTCTGTCGACTGTAACCAAAGTCTAATTCCCGATTGAGTAACTCAAGTGATAACTTGTGCATGCGCAATTTAACTTCCTCCAGCGTTGTCAAGGCCTTTATGGGGACGGCAAATGAACTGCAAAATCGCAAAAACTAACCATTTTAGACAAGACATTGCATTCCTTCGTATTCAGTGAAAAGTCCACAAGCCCTGCTCACCAAAATCATGTCAACGGGACTTTGAGCATAGATTTGGACGATTACCCAGTTGCCCAACTAGCCGAGCTGAATCTAATCTCGTATCAGTCTCTACCCCCGAGTGTCCTCACTTATTGGGTGAGGTCGCATAGTTCCGATAGGTTCACCTCCCGAATCATTCAATATCACGTTAGTTTAACTTCCCAAATCTGGCGACCCATTAGCTCTTTTTTTGAAATCTCTGACGATCGATGGAGTAAGCTAAATGTAGGCAGTTTGCGACACCATGGATGCGATTCAACAATGCGGCTTAAACGGCAGTTAGAAACGGCATGAAATGACATCCTGGACAGATTTGTGTGCGCTGAAAGACTGTAACGGTATTTGTTAGTAATGCGCTACTCATAAGGTTGCTGAAAATCCGTCGACAGCCCACAACCGGTTTCGCCTTCTTGGGGCTTATCAGGTGGGTGCAGTTCCTGAGTTTTTCGTCAATCTTATGTTTTACTTGAAACCAAATTGCGCGGAATTAGCGAATATATACTCATTTGCAAACTAATTTGGTTTTTCGAGAGACTCGCCTGGAACCCAGCTGAATCTCTTGGTTTTGATGTTTCAAGGCGATATCTCGAATATCGTAGCGACTGAAACATGAGGTGGCCTGGTGCAGACCATTCAGTTGCCTGGAAACATCAAAACCGAGAGATTCACCTGGGTTCCAGATGAGTCTTTCGAAAAACCAAATTAGTTGGCAAATGAGTGTATATTCGCTGTATCTGTTGGTATTAAGCATAGACGGGACACACTACTCATCATCATCATCATCATCGTCTACTTATCTTATGGCCAACAACCAGTCCCATCCTTCTTGGGTCACCGTCTTTGAGTCTGCCGGTCAGGAGTATGATTTCCACGAGATATGAGAAACATCTCACATAAAATTCTTCCCATTGTTGAAAGATTGTGGACCTCAAGAAATACACTCATTTGCAAATCAATTTTCACGAGAACGAAAGACTCAACTGAATCTCTCGTTTATGATATTCTACAACTGAATGTGCTTCACACGTGACACATCATGTTTCAGTTGGCACGATATTCGAGATATCGCTGTATGTTTTCATAAAGGAAACTACCCACAAGTGTGCTGAAAAATCTTCGACAGCCCACGACCGGTTTCATCCTTCTTGAATATCATAAACGAGAGATTCAGTTGAGTCTTTCGTGAAAATCAAATTTATTTGCAAACGAGTGTATTTCTCAAAGGCAAGAAGAATTACTTTTTCTACGACTTTTGTGGCTGGTCCATAACTCCAGATGGTTGTAATGTTGCAAGGAACTGGAGTAATCGAGTAATCTTCAAGCATGGTCTTCAACTTTGGGGTTTACGACAGCAAATTCGGGTGATTGTTTTTTCGCTGAGTCTGCCAGTTTGATTGCTGTGGGTTTCAAAATCGAGGCTATTTCGACATCAGAGAGTGTTGCACTCGTTTTTGTGGGGCATCTCCACCTGGTCAACAAGGTGCTCAAATCACCGAAAGCAAAAATTTCAATGCCCCTTAGCAGCTTCTCCACCAGTCCACAAACCTATTCGGTTTACATTATCATCGTGTGGCCTGCAAGATGTGTGGACCCAAATAGAGTGGTTGTTGTATGATCTGCCTGAAATTCTGAATCATTTAATACAAATTCCACCAAGTATCACCTGTCAACCTATTCTCCAGTTATTGGGAGTGCTGTCAGACTGTCGCTCCGAACATTGGCGATGGAGGGCGACCGAAAACTGACCCTCCCCACCGCCGAGGCCTCGAAGTGAAACGGCAAACATTTAAGAGGGGGTTGACGATAAAGTATGCGACGCAGCCTATTGACAGACTACCCGTCCTAGACTTCTCTAAGCTTTTGTCTGCATGGACTGAGGGATTCTTTGTTGACTTCATACAGCTGTGTTTGCCATTAGCGCGACGATCCGCAGCTTGTCACATGAACTGGCGAGAGGCATGGGAAAGATGAATGTTGACAAAGAAACCACAGTTGATCGCAGAACCTCATAGTTCAGAATTGAGTACTTGTCTTTATGTGCGTTCGCTCATCCTTCTTGTGATGGAGATATTAACGACAAAATGCTCCAGCTATACTTCAATGAAGTGGCAACCTTTTCCTGATGTTTTCAGCTGGTCTATCAAGCATATGCATCTTCGTCCTGCGCTAAATTTCACCCGTCCATTTCAACAAGTCGATTCTTTGTCCCTGAAATAACGCTCCGTAGGTTACGTACACGCTTTCGTCCGGTCAGCTTCTATCCAGATTGCCTGAACGAGTGTCTGGAGGTGTAGATACCTTGGAATGATTGTAGCAGGTTAGAACCCCGTCCATCTTTATTCTTTTCTTCCAAATATGGATTTCAACCAAATCATGGTTGTCGGCGGCGAAGCATCAGTTTTGAGCACTGATGTCGACGATGATGATGATATCTCGTCCAAAGCTACTGATTGATGCGCCTGCTTACCGTGAGAGGCAGGAAGATACCTGAATTTGCGTAAGACTGTTATATGTAAACCATTCGCTTCAGCATACCAGAATGCCATAAATTTCTGGAGCCAGTTGTGGCCCTTACAGAAGCAGAGCACCTTCGTTGTCAGTTTGAGTTTGTGCTAGAGAGCACAAAGTAAGCGTAGAGTAATCTACGGCACTATTCAGGCGATACATACAGAAATCAGAATCAGAAGATGTCGGAGTATAAATTTGGCAGTGACAATTGTACGCATACCTCTAGGTCATCGTTGTTCTCGATACGAATATCCGTCATTATTTTTCAATTGTACTAGTGTCTTTGTCATAATAGCAGGCAAATTACAAATAGGTAAGGATAATGCATCGTTAGGAAGGTGTATTGTATCACGATATCTCGAATCTCGCGCCACTTGAAACACGAAACGGCATGGAGCAGCACATTCTGTTGCTCAAAGACGCCGTGAACGAGAGATTAGGCTGGGTTTCAGGTGAGTCTCCCGTCAAAACCAAATGAGTATAGCTCACAAATGAACGGCTGTTTGTAATTGAAGAAGTTACTGGTAACTTAGATTTTAAACGATAGCTGTTGGTTTGTTTGCTGAGCTGAACTATTTGGCTTAAAGCGTTTCATCACCTGTCTGGGTGACATCCTTAGTGTGGTATGTGTGGAAGTGCGTCAAGATTGGAAGTACACTTGGAAGCGTACTTCCACCCTCCCTCCTCAAGCTAGCTGAATAATCGAGATACAAGTTTTCTCACAATGTTTTCTGATACATTATCCACACAGATGGATGCACACAGGGGCGGGCATTATTCCATCTGGAGGCCCGCATTTACGGTACTAACCGGGGTAATCGACGAAAACTCGGGAACTGTGCCTACCTGATGAGTCTCTGGCAGGACGGAACTGATCGTGGGTTGTCGAAGAGTTTTCAGTGTGCACGCTGTTCTATCCTGAGCCCTCACTCACCTGCGAGCACTACGGCTTTTGTTACAGCGCACCGTTTGCGAGTGGGCAAATGTTCCTTTTTTTAGGGAGGAGGGTTTGTAGAACTGAACGGTTTAGACACAAACAAGTGTGAACAAAACCACGGAAATCGTTGATTTTCATTTAGACGTGCATTCAGGCTCTGGTGATCAGTACCTGTTACTTGTTCCTCATCTTGTTTGTTGACTCAACACCAAAATGCGACAGATTAACCTTCGTTTAATGTGATAAAACTGACATGCAAGCTTTAGAAATCCTTCTTCGACATACGTTGGGAGAGGAGAAACTTGTGAATTTACTAAATTCATTGTAACCAGCCTACATACTGATAAATACGATCGGTTGAGGAGCACTCGGGTAACGTCTATTTAAGCTTTTTGCCGGTCAAAGGAGATACCTTGAATCATATCACTTTCGCGTAGCGAGAGGAGAGACTCTCACCAGTTGTTCTTCCAGCATAGTGAAATGCGGAGTCGTTACCTATTTGGAAATTTCTACTTACTTAAATCTGAGTACTAACGGAGCTTTTCTTGAACTCCACAAATTGAGCCCTTGTCATTTTGGATTGAACACTGTTCCATTTCGGTATACTATTGTGTGTCCCCGTGGAAAACATGTGACATCTGTTTCAGTATTCCGGTTCAGTTCTTCTAGTGTAACGTTTTATGTACGAAAGGGATTAAGTCCTCGCCTATCCAGTGGTAACTTTCTGAGATTACATTCTTAATTGAACGTTAGTTTCAGGTATCGAATGTCACAAACAGTCACCCGATGTCAACTGCCGTCTCCTTCTCTGATATCAAATGGACCAATGGGGATGTCAGAACCAAAGAGCGTGAAGTCAGTCGGCCGCACCACATCCGCTGAACTTGACCTCAGCGACACGGGATCACAAAATCCTGGCTACCGATCCTCGTCTTCTGAAGATGACCTCGACCCTCCAGCAGTGATTGGACAGACCGGTGTGTATAACTGTGCAAAACGGAACGGAATGACCCCAACACTTGATTATTCTATCGGACAGACGGACGCCGAGATTTCCTACGATTCCGGAGAGTTTCCAGAAAGAAACGAAAAAGTGTCGAGAGAAGAACCCATTGGGCGATTTCAGTATGATGCACGTGGACACGCCCTTTCAGATACTTGGAATTCCACCTCACCGAAAAAGTGCACATCCTTCAGTACAGCAGCGGATGAGGCTGAACAGTCGGCGAGCCTGGTAAGTCATGTAAGGAGGATCTTATTCACCTTATTCACCTATAGAATAAAGCGTGCGAATTCTGGAAGAAAGCATTCACTGTGTGTAACCATCTAAATTCCACTTTGCAGTTCTGGGGAGCGAATGGAAAGTAGAGGGGGTTCGATGCTAAGTTTGCCAATCAACTGCCGATGATTAGAGAACAATGCAGAACAATGCGGTGAAAGGGGTGCCCTTAATTCGGGGAGTCGCGATAAACGAGGACATCTGTTTGTGAACTGTCCAGGGGGGTCTCCATCAGTTGGCGGGTGTTTTAAGGTAGTACAAAGATGATCAAGCTGAGGGTTTAGTTCAACGGCTAAAAAATAAAGCCTCAAGCATCAACGATTAAAGTCTTGTATTAGAAACTCTGTCTGTGAATGAACAGTACGAACGTCCGTTTCACACAAAAGTTGCAACGAATCAGGGATCCTATCAACAAATTAAATTTAGCTGACTCCCCGTAACACAATATCCATAACTAAGTAAAAATAAAATAAAACATTCACTGTACAATCCGTGGAGTGATTCTAATTGGCCTAAAGAGTCATGTGCCCTTTTTAAAAACCGTCATGGTTTGTGGAAAACTTGGCATGTTGGATCGTCATATTCCCTTTTTTCCGATCCGCTCAGTGCATGCAACCAACAAAAGTTCACTGACAGCATTCACATTCACGATCGGATCGGAATCGTTTTTGTCTGTAGTACATGCTTGACAAATCTGATGAGTCCACGGATGCCTGAATGACAGTTCCAGACCTAACGATCGACAGAAACACCAAACCAAGCATCAAACTGTTTTGCCTCGTTGAAGCGATATCCCGTCGTGATGTGACCATCCACGCAAATGGTATAATGTCACAACGGCCCAACACAATGTGGCATATTCGTGTGTCCCAGCAATCCTTCACAAGCTTCTTTGATGCGTGTACGCGCGCGCGCGCGCACCGATGACATTGCATGTTTTGACAGAAGTCCTTACACACACACACACACACACAGGCCTTTCGTTTTAGCCTATGCTGCCCGGTAAATGAGTAGTTCGAACCGTTATCAATCATAAATCAGCATAATGGGATCAGAATAGGCATGCAGGAAGACAGTTGTCCCCAAAGTCTGGAGATGATTAGAATAGAAAAACAGAGGAAAACGGGAAAAAACAGCTGACCACAACCATTCCTCAACAGCTTGGGCACATACGCAGAACACAGAGCGAAGTTAATGGTTGAGACGATAGTAGCGCGAAAACACATACAAGCATACCGCGAGATTGTTGATATGCCAGTCCCAGTTCGTGCGACATAAATTCGAACAGATTTCGCCGTGATGACGGGTCATCTTTAAGGATAGCTACAACTGCGACTGTGTGTGTGTGTGTGTGTAAGCAGCCAGAATAGACACTGGCCGACGTTCTGAGGTGTGGATAGGTGCGCACATAAAGTTTTTTCTCGAACTACGCCTCAAATGACCCGTGTGGGACTTTCTCTCCGTCTCTCTACTATGGCTACCAAGCCTCATCAGCGCGCAGCAGTGCCTGACTAGCATTTGGCGCGCGCGCGCGCACGCATGCGACGAAATGCGATCACAAAATTTGCGTGATTCAGATTCACACCGCGATAACGCGCAGGCATGTACTACGGTCCTGCTGTTATTGATGCTGGAACAGCTGTTGCGCGCCTGTCAAACACATCTTTCGTGGTTGTTGATTATGGTCAATTAAAAACAGTTTGGACGGGGAAAGACATTTGAATAGGAACGGTAGGAAAAAAGGCTGTGTGTCTAGGAGACAATTCACTGACAAGCCCCAACTCAGCGTGAAATCGGTGGCTGTTTGGTTTGGGGATTCACATAAGTTAATGTGAGTTTCGGCCTAATGTGGCCCATCACTTTTCACATGTCTGAAGCGCATGTAATTCAATTGCCTGTATAGGCAAAATGGCGGTTGGACGGCTCAGCTAACCGTTCTCTAATGGTGGAGAGAACGTACCCACTACTTGTTGAAACATCTGTTTTTGAATATAAAGAAACCTAAGTCCCATTGTTTCGAGTGTGGTAGTTATGCACACACAGGGAGCCAGGAATAAGAAGAAGGTACTCTCAGCCTCATTCCTGAATTGCGCCGCACTGTCGCTGGATTGTCGATGATGACCTAGCTTCGTATTCCTTGCGACATTCCAGTCAGCGGGGTGAGTCAAATTTGGCCGAAGGCGACTCATTCTCTGGCCACACATCGAATGCAATGTTGGCGGTTCCCATCAGATAGTCAACCGTCGTTTCAATTCCTCAGTACGATGCTCAAATATCGAAGATGATGATTGAGCAGGGAGTGATGCAGGCCTGGATGTGTCCATCAAAGTGGCCGCAGTTAGATCTGGCACTGCATACATGAAGACCTCTTTAGTTTCCCGGCAGATCCCTCCAAAAATCCACTGTCGGGGAAGGACTCGTTCTGCGTGTTTTTTTTTACAGCAAACTATCAGCGTTTCATCGATCTCGACGCGTAGACCTAGGTCTTCGATAACTGTTGGAGTCTACAAAAGTTGCCAGGTGCAAACTTCGCGAAGAAAGTTTGTAGCGACCCAGTCACCCACATACTTGACTGTTCAACTCACAGTCGCTCATTGGATCACGGGGCTTGACTTTTTTCTCATACTCACGAATCACGTCACACTAAGCTGACTCATCGGAAATCGATTGTCTGCACCGCCTAGTCAGCGTAGCAACCACTCATGTGCCGACGCGCCCACGTATACGCACTGGGACCTAAATAAAGGGAAACCGAACCCAGTCAGGATACACAGACTCGCGCGCGCGCAGGGAGCAGGACGTCAACCTCTCCACAACCATGGAATACGTGTAGCAGTCGAACTGCGGAGAAAAACACGTTCCCGCCGTCCGGACTTCCACCAAGGGACTTTCATATACGATAAGCTCCCTTTTTGACTTGCTCCCATTTCACATTGTATTTATTTTATACGTGTCGCAACCATGTTAAAAACTTTTATTGGTGCACATTCATCTTCTGATTTGTATTATGACTATCATCACCTGTGCACCAATAAGTTCTTCCAGTCAACAGCGGTCGTATGGCTAACAGATAATTCCTCTGAGCAGAAATAAATGCATAGAATTACTGTCCTATACTCCATCCCATACCGCTCAAGCCCAGTTCCGTTCGGAAACCGATTTCTTGCCGATACTGTCGAGCATTACAACTCCACCTGTCACAAACAGCTGGTGGCCATTGTCGCATAAACGTTGCTGATGGATCACTTCGTGGCTTTGCAACAAACGTACTGCCGTCTCCTTGTCATAAACGATTGTTGAAAGCGTCAGAAAGTGCATTCAAGGTTTTACTCCGAACGGAGACATTGTTTTGCACAAAATGAGCCTAGATACGGATAAGGAATTATTTTCATCAAAAACACGTCAAGGTTGTGTGGAGCTGGCAAAAAGTGGCGGCGGGCTTAACTTTCCGCACATGCATTTTGCATCAGTGGCGGGGCTTGTCTGGAAAGGATCCAGATTTTCCATACTTTAGTTGTTTCCAGAACCGTCATTCGACTTCCACAGTGTGAATGATGCAAACTTGACGCAGCCCAAGTCCAGATATTGGTTGGGACCTAGTTCATTTCAAGATCATCAACACTCAAATGTATCTCAGAATTCACATGGAGAACACGAAAGAATTCAGGAATCAAACGGCTGATATATTCACCCGGGGAGGGGAGTAGATTTCGGGGCTCTCGTCTAAATTTTATCCCGGTAATTATCGCTGATTTCCTGTTCCTTACGATACTTGCACTTGAGTATGACTAGCAAAGATCAAGTGAGAATGATGACAAAGTTCGATTAGTGGTGCGATTTCTTGTTACGACATCTTTGTAAATCGCAAATGTCTTTACCATGTCAGTCTGAATAGCAAATCACTAGTTTTGCACACCCCTAGAACACGTCAGCTCCTCATCAGTATTTCTCGAGATTCCCGTAGGTATGTCTTATGAATCCAAATGGAACAGTTTCAGAATTCTGTGGGGTGATTTACCTCAATGTTCAACCCAATAGCTGTGATTTGTAGCAGAAACCTGCGTAAACTCTGGGATGATCTTTGAACTTTACTTGGAATCCAAAAACCCGACCGATCGGTTCACTGTTTCAATTTACTCCTAATTTTTTTCTGTCCATATTTAAGAAACCTGACAGTAGTGTGAACTTCAGGTGTTTATTCCGGATAGTGCGCATTCTAATGACTTTCGGTGAAACTTGTGTCTACAGTCATACAGTTTTTGTAGTTCCATTGTCCCGTGTAAGAATAGTCTTGGAACTCACAGACGGTAGTAGCGAAACGTTTTTCAGCTTTTTAGGATGATTCGCAGTCCGTGGTGATACTCTCATGCGACTGACTTCATATTTCAGCCCACAACCTCTGGAGAACAGGCTTATGAAGACACAACGGCAATGGGTCCAGAAGTAGACAGTGATGAACATCAGAGGCCAAAAGACTGTGTTAGTCTCCCGACGACAGACAGAACTGTGCAAAACCACAAGGACGGCAGAAACTCACCGCAAAATATCTCCAGTCGGGGTACACTGAATGAGTCAAAAACACCGGTTGTTGGAAGAGATAGTTTGACCAGCCGGGCAGCTCATAAATTTGAGTTTTCCGAGACTCGAACCCAAAGGAAACCACATCCATCTGGCCTGAAACTAGGAAACAAAGATCGAGAGAAGGGAAGGGAGTGCGTAGCTGAGGAAGCCAACCGAAGCCAGCTACGAGAACACAGATTCCAAGAAAGCACATCCCATTCGCCCGTATCAGAACGTTCCAAACCTTCGAAATCCGCTACATTCCAAACGAATCGCCAGTCGCATGGCATCCTGGACTTTTCCGGTGAACGCGATAGAAAAATGCCCAAAGCAGATGGGTCGAATGGCACCCAAAAACCACACAACGCTTCAGGTTACAGTCCATACCACTCAGACTCATTAGGTCACTTGTTCACGCTGGATAACGCCGCTTTGGCAGCCAGTTTACATTCTTCTCCGCTACTCTCAGCACATTCAAATTCGAATCGACCGGAAGATGCGGATAGCGGCTATATGAATTTACCTACGGGCGATCAGAGCAGTGGAGAAAGTGGCAATTGTTCAAACGACCCATCTATGTCCATCAACAGCTGTCTACCACCCATGTTAGCCGCGGCTGCCATGGCTGCCTTAACCGGGGGCCGGTTTCCCACCGGTTCCACCATGGGTCACTTTAATCCACTATTCCCACAATCATCCGCGAACCTACTTCCGGCACACATGAAAAACTATGACGCACCTATGGAACCCGGGTGTCTGGATGGAATTCACAGAGCATCCGGGAACTACGGGTCATCTTTAACAGGCTCAGGGCAAGCAAACGATTTCTTATCACCCATGCGTGCAATGTATAACACCTCAAAGTTGCTTTTCGGTGGTGGCTCCGATGACAGAACAATTTGCACTCCACCACCGCCATCACTCTCGGCCTCTGCAAGCCCACAACCAGCCGGTTCCAGAGGATTCTCCAAGTCCAGCAGGATCGTGTACAACAACCATTTGGTAAATGAAGATGACGACTGTGAAGAGGAGCAAGAGGAATTGGAAAGTATGGAACCAGACCACGTGGGACCTGAGGGCTCCAGTTCTATCGGTGGACAACAATGGACTTTTGAGGAACAATTCAAGCAGGTTAGTGATTATTCGACTAGAATTTTACTTCACCCAACAATCACAGAGAGTCTAGCTTCGTGTTTTACCTGAGAATTCACTTGTATTTTGTCATCGTCCTCCACATAGTAGAGCGACAGCCTTTTCTATTGGCTGAGTGCGACCCAATCGATAGGTCATGTGAACCGTTCGAACGCTGATTGGCTCGTTTGCTGCTCGACAATTTCAAGTGGTCATCTGAATCCGTGTTATGCGTTACCTCAGTAAGCAAAGAAATTTCTGTTTAAAGGGGACCTCCGTTTTATAATGCTACGGAAGCTTTTTTGGGATCCGTTCTGTGGAAATCTCCAAGATACATCAGTTGGGTTAGGTGTAAGACAATGATAACTTACATTTCCCAATTTATCCTTCCAAACGGAAGAACGGTCTCAATAGTTTTAACTTTTAGAACATCCAAGTCAGTTTGGATTAGAGCATTCTATCCCATTCTACAGTACAACAAAATCGAGTAGTTGAGAGCAGAAATAACTTCACAAGATTTCGAGAAATACACTCATTTGCAAATCAATTTGGTTTTCACGAGAGACTCAACTGAATCTCTCGTCGTCGAAGAGTTTTCAGCAAACTTGTGAGTAGTTTCCTTTATGAAAATATACTGCGATATCCCGAATATCGTGCCGACTAAAATGTGAGGTGGCCTCTGTGAAGCACATTCACTTGAGAATTAGCATAAACGAGAGTTTCAGTTGAGTCTGTCGTGAAAGCCAAATTGATTTGCAACTGAGTGTATTTCTCGAAAACAGTTCAATTTGGGTTCAAGTAGAACATAAGGTTGACGGAAAACTCGGGGACTGCGCCTACCTGATGACCCCGAAGGTGAAGGGCGAAACTGGTCGTTGGCTGTCGAAGGGTTTTCAGAAACCTTGTGAGTAGTTTCCTTTATGAAAACTTCACAAGATAATTAGTCGCTCAGAGGCAAAACACTCCTGGTTTTAGTACATCGCATGCCCTAATATTCGACCTTGAATACGCCATTTCCAGAACCTTGTCTGCCGAGATTCATTCCCTTTAGTATGTATGAAAAAACAAAGTCTATTTCTTTCGTCCGGTTTTTTGTAGACGATAGATACTTGGTGCGAATTCCTAAGGAAATCTTAGTGTGGTGAGAGTTTTGCGATGAATGTCCGTTTCTACTCTGTCTGAGAGAACAATATAAAATTTGTAATTCGATGTCTCATAGAAAAGGTTCGCAACTATAAGTTCAGAACAGTGTTCATTCAGCGAAATACACTCATTTCAAACTAATTTGATTTTTAGAGAGACTCACCTGTAACCCAGCTGAATTTCTCGGTTGTAATGTTTTCGTGCAACCAAATTAGTTTGCTAATTTCCTGCAATTTGGTCTCGAGTTGAACATAAGTTTGACGGAAACTCAGGGACTGCGCCGACCTGATGAGCTCCAAGAAGGGCAAAACCGGTCGTGGGTTGTCGAGGACTTTTCAGCAACCTTATGAGTAGTTCACCACAAAAAGTGTTCATTCGGGTTCATTCGCAATTCGTTTCGCTCCTCTTGCGGAATAGTTGCTCCCTGTCTCACACCGAGCGACTTCCCCCACGAAAATTGCAATAAAGCATAGGTAGATACTAAAGTTGCCATGAAACTCAGGAAGGATGTTACCTTATTAGACAATTTCTTGATGGTCTCAAGTAGAAATTAGTGCGGAGGACTGCCGTATCATCGCCACTGATTGATGAAGTTTTGAGCAGGTGGTCTTGTAGTAGAATGGCTTTCTAGCCAACAAATTATTCTACTGCCTGCCGCTCTACTGACTACGCGAACACCACTTAACTAGAATTCACTCTGACCTCTCAGTTTGAGGTTTCCGGCTCTTGTCTCACTTGTGACTTGTGATTGCTGTTTCTCTGACAAAACGTCACCTGACAAGCATCGATGAGCCAGGGAGCATCCGACCTTCAATAGGCAGAGCTGACACATACGAACAACCTGTTGTTAGTTGTCACATATATACTCATCGCGGACCCTAGACTGAACGAATAAACTGAAAGGATTAAATAACTAACTGTTTGGGGTACGGTTGGTGATGACTCGGTTATTGGTGCATAAATGTCATCCAGGACCATAGCGTCGCAGTTCCTTTCCAACCCGACCGATCGTGAGATGAGCAGATCGATCGGTAGCGCATCTGCTTCTTCATATTCTTCCTTACAAACTTTAAGGCGACTCAACGAGTAGTACTTCGCTTCACATTCCCCGAGGTCCTCACTTAGGCCCTCCAGCTCCTCAATGGTTACATTTAACAGTATCTTTCCTGAGATTTGGATGTCAGCCATCTGTAGTTTCACAAAGATGTTCATAAATTAGGACTTCTGGTGGCTAGTTGGATCACGTGTGGTGAGCCTTAAAGAACATTCATCCGAAGAGCGGCCTTTCCAAGACAACGTTACCCTTTAGTACCTGTCAGAAAAGAGGCTGAATTTATCCCCAACTCTGTGCCGGACCAAAAACTGAGTAGTACTCACTGTTGGTTGGTGCACTTCTAATACACGAGGCAAATAAAGTTTCATCAGAGCATTCACCGCGGTATTCTGCCCTACCACCAACATTCGTCAGTGCACGTGTCAGCTGATGCGACGAAGCATTCCATACCGACCTTGATGTGACATCCTTACCATCAATCCACCGTGGTTCGGAGAGGGGGCGGCGACGGGATGATTAGAAAGTTCTGAATTCATTGAGATCTAGGAACATCGAGGAAATTCGTCACCTATACTTGTCACGCTTGCCTGCTACCATATGTCGTTCTTACTCAAAGTGGCAGCACCAACCGCTGGAAACCAAGTAAAGTTGATGAATTAGTAATATACAAGGTCCCTCATAAAACGCAGTAATTTGGAATGTGGGGTGAGGCAGGAGAATGGAAAGGATAGAGCTTCCTTTGTCTTTTATGGAGATGAGACACACCATGGTGAGACGTGTTCAATGATAGGATTAGGTGGTATTTGTTTGTGTGAAGGGGGAATCAGCTCTCAGCTTGCGTTTCGCTCCAGCCCGCATCGGGTTCGACGTGAGATCCCATCTATTGAAAGTCTGCTTTCCCTGGAGACGTTGCGTACCTACCATCTTTAATTACTCTCCTTATCTGGTTCATATATTATTCATCAATTAACCTAGTAATTATCTACCAGGAAAAAACAAACAGACCCTTCAGCGACACGTGTGGGGGAGGGGGGGCGGACAACCTGCCTATTCAATGGTTGATGTAGATTGATGTGCGGGGCAGTGGGGGAGCAAACAAGAAAATGTTATCAGGTGCCATTTATATTTCATCCAGGGACGACTGTATGAAATCCGTTTTCGATTGAACCTGTCACCAAAACCGCATAAGTTATGCATCAATTACTTTCCGTGGTTATAATCAGTCTACACCCGGAGCTTCAACCGCGATTAGCTGAACACAACTTTACTATAATCGATTAGCAAGATGCTGATGTGGTGTGGAATATTTGGTAAATGCAGCGCGTACCCGGATCAAGTTCACAGCATGTGAAAGAGATGTAACGTCTGGTGTTAGGGAATAACGAACGATTTCTCGCTTACCGGAGGCGTATTGTAATCGCGCACACTGTCGCGCGTATGCAGCTTGGATTCAGCTGGGGCGAGATGTCCCAAATGGTTAGAGCGCGAATTTACTGACCTGAAGGTCCGTGGTTCGAACCCAAACTCCGCCTCTCGTTTTCCCCTGTCTAGGCTTAGGCAACCTGGCAGTATCCCAGCCCTCGTGCTTC